AATTGAAAAACTGAGAAACCTAGTAGTTGGAAAGATGAAAAATAAAAAAATCTGAAGGTCGAGAAACTGAAAGGTCGAAAAATCGAAAAATGTACAGTTTAATTAATCGAAAAATTGAAAAATAAAAAATGAGACACCGAAAAATGTAAAATTTTAAAAATTGAATCGAAAAATTGATAAATCGCAATATGGAAAAATTTTAAATTCAAAAAACCGAGAAATTGTAAAATTAAAAAAAAAAAGAGAAATCGAAACATGACAGGATCAAGAAAGCGAAAAGTCGAGAAGTCGAAATTACGTAAAATCAAAAAATTGCATATTGAAAATACGGAAAAAAAAACTTAAAAACTCGATAAATCGAAAAACTGAAACGTCAAAATCTCGATAAATCGAGAAATTGAAAAATTGAAAAACCCTAAAATCTAAAACTGAGAAGCCAAACAATCGAAAAGTCGAAACATCAAAAAATCGAAAACTTGAAAGATTGAAAAACTGAAAAATTGAAAACCCGAGAAGTCGACAAATAATCGAAAAGTCGAGAAATCGAAAAAATTGAAAGATCGAGAAGTCGAAACATTAAAAAATTGAAGAAAAATCGATGAAATGAAAATTGAAAAATCGAGAAATCTAAACATCAAAAAATCGAAAACTTGAAAGATTGAAAAATCGAAAAATCGAAAATACGAGAAGTCGAGAAATAAATCATTGAAGAAATCGAGAAATCGGAATGTAAAAAAAAATCAAAAAATCCATTAATCGAGAAATCGAAAATTCAAAAAGCTGAAATATCGAAAAATTGAGGGATCCGAAAACTGAAACATCTAAAAATTGAAAAATAGTGAATAATCGAAACGTCGAAAATTTTAAAAATCGGGAAATCGAAATCGAAAAATAGAGAAATTGGGAAATTGAGCAACTGAAATATTGAAAAATCAAGATACTGAAAAATGACGAAAAATTAAAAACCTGACATCGAAAAATTGAAAAATCGAGAAATTGAAAAATAGGGAAAGTGGGAAATCGAATAATCGAAAAACTGAGAAATTAGTAGTTGGAAAGTGGGAAAATAAAAAAATCGAACAATCTGAAGGTCGAGACGAGAAATCGAAAAATAAAAACAATCCAGATATCGAAAACTCGAGAAACTGAAAAGTCGAAAAATCGAAATGACGAAAACTCCTAAAGCTGAAAAATTGAGAAATCGGGAAATCGAAACGTCGAAAAATCGGGAAATTGAAAAACCGAGAATCGAAAAATCAAAAAATTAAAAAACCTTGAAACGGGGAAATTGAAAAATTGAAATTTCGAGGAATTGGCGAATGGAAACATTGAAAAATTAAAAAATCGGAATGTTGAAAAAGCGAAAAATCAAAAACTTGAATTATCGAAAAATCAAGAATCCGGAGGGAAATCGGGAAATCAAAAAAACGATAAACTTTAAAAATGGAAAACTTGAAAAACGGAAAAAAAGAAAAATCGGAAAATTGAGAAATCGAGAAACAATCGCTTATGTGAAATTGTTTAAAAAAATCAAAAATAACGTTTTACACTGAGATAAATAAATGTAGGAAACATATTTCGGAGTTTTCGACATAAAAAATTTTGCCTTTTTTTTTTAATTTTCAATAAATCGAACTTTCAAATTTTATTAAATATTTCATTAACACTGTCGGGAGAGACATTTTGTAAATTTTAATCAACAGTTTGATAGTTTTCTAAAGTTTTAGTTTAAAAGCTTCCCAAATATGACTTTATCCGTAAGTGGATTTCTTAGTTTAAAAAATTAGTATTCTTTTTTTGTTTATTTTTTAAATCTTGCGAATCTTACAATAGAAAATAAAAATCGATGAACTGTAAATTGAAAAATCGGGAAATCAAAACATCAAAAAATCGGGAAACTGAAAAATCGAACGTGGAGAAATCGAGAAATGGGAATATAAAAAAAATCCAAAAGTCGCTAAATCTAGAAACCGGAAATTTAGAAACACCAAAAATCGGAAGAACAAAAAGCTGAAAAATCCAGGAATCCGTCCTAAAACTGAAACATCTAAAAACTGGAAAAATCGAGAAATGAAAATTAAAATAAAAAATCCAAAAATTGAAAAATCAAAAACCCGAAAAATTGAACAATTAAAAATTCGAAAATTTGAAGAATCGAAAATTCGAGAAAGCGAAACATCGAAAAGTGGAGAAATCGAGAAATGAATGGAATTATGAAAAAATCGAAAAATTGAACAATTGAATAATCGAAACGTCGAAATCTCGATAAATCGAGAAATCAAAAAATTGAAAAACCTTTAAACTCAAAACTGAGAAGCCGAAAAATCGAAAGATCGAGGTGTCGAATCTTCAAAAAATTGAAACATCGATGAATTGTAAATTGAAAAATCGGAAAATTGGATTGAAAAACTGAAAAATTGAGAACCCGAAACGTTAAGAAATCGAATCATCGGAAAGTCCAGAAATCGTGAAATGAGAACAAAAAAAATACAGAAATCGAGTAATGGAAAAATCGAAAATTTAGAACTAAATACTGAAAAATCGAAAAATCGAAGAATCCCTCCTAAAACTGAAACATCTAAAAACTGAAAAAATCGATAAATCGAAAATTTTAAAAAATCCAAAAATTGAAAAATTAAAAATTCGAAACATTGAACAATTCAAAAATCGAAAAATTGAAGAATTGTAAAATCGGAAAATCTAAAACCGAAAAGTTGAAAGATCGAGAAGTTCAAACATCAAAAAATTGGAAAATCGATGAAGTAAGTGACAATTCGAAAAATTAAAAAATCAAAAACCCGAACACTCGAAAATTGAAAAAAACAAAAATCGAAAAATTGGAAGAAGTATTAGGTACTTCGAGGACTTTGAGAGTGTCAACTATAAACACAAAAAGTCCTCCAGAATAAAGAGAGCAGTCGTCTAAAGTGCGGGACTTTTTCAGCGGATTATCATGAATTTGCGTGATTTTCCCGTTGTTTCTAAAATTATTGCAATAAAAGTTTTTGATTTTGCGGACTTTCAATTTCAAAATTTCTAGCGAGCCCCCTCGTCTTCTCTACAATTTCGAAAATTTCTTAAAATTTTCGAAATTTTGATTTTTCAAAAACGTTTTATGCTTTAATTGAATTAGGTGGGCCGATCCCGACTGTACTGCAATGCCGGGCCAACCCGCGACGGAGGTGGAGCAAGCCCCTAAGCCCCCATCAATTTCCAAAAATCAGTTTAATATACTGGCCCCGCATGCGGGGCGTATCAGATATTAAGCTGATAAGAACAGATACTACACTTTGATCTTAGCCATAAGGCCGAGAAGCGATAACGAATGGGGGCCCCAAAATCAAAATATAGTTTTTGGGAAAAAATTGGGTCGTCGGAGGTGACCGCCAGCGCTATCTGGGGGCCACTTCAGTCAGGAGCGCGCTCGCATCGTATTGATTCGTCAAAACGCGCCTGAAAGGGGCCGCCTCCGCGATATATACGCCTTTTTAGAGTAACAAGGGGGCCGTAATGGAAGCGTGGGGGACCCATTACCATTTTTTGTGCACAAAGTGAGGTTATGTTGCTTTTTTGGTGCTCGTTTTTTCGGTCTTTTAATGGTGTTTATGTGCATGGGGTGTTGTTTTTGCAACATTTGTAGCAACATTGTATGATTTAATTGTGCGTTTTTTTCAAAATTTTGTGTAATAAAAATGATTACAGATTTTGTGATTTAGTGTACAGGAAACTGTAAGTTAAAAAAAAAACATGACAGAGGGAGCCACAATTCAGGGTCCTGTTTTTCTACATTTTTTTAGTTCTCTTGTTTATTATATATTTCATCATTGATAATTACAACGTGTTTACGTTTAATTTTTGTTTCGTGTGTCCATTTGAACGGACGGACAGAAACGGGAGACCTATTTTTTCGTACTCTAGCGGTTATGAAGCGTCGAGAAAACATGTAAGTAGCTAGTTCCGATGCAGCGATTGCAATACTTTCTTAGCTTGCGCTTGAGACGTAAAAAGGAGTCTAAATATATCGCTTTACGCTCGATTTCGAATATGCCATATAAAGCAAATTTTTCTTAAATAACATCTGATTATATAATAATGGACATCATCCGATTAAATTGGCGTGATACTAAAAAAAGCCCTGACATCCAACGCTAAACGGATTGTTACAATACGTTGAATCGTTAGACCGTTAGGTAACTGAAAATTACACCTCTCATATGCCGTAATTTTATCTAAAATAGTCAGTTTTATTTCGCCAAAATTGGATAATCGAAATCGAATATAACAAATTTTAGCAACCGCTCGTGGCAGTGCTCGTGACCCAGCTCCCAAAACAAACAAACATAAAAAATACGACAAACACCTCAGAAAAAAAGAACAAATAAAACGTAGGTAACGTAATGTGCATTATGTACTTGTGCAACGTCATTAAACCCAATCGATAGTATGCACGTGTACTCCGATAATGTTATATCGACGAGATTTAACATCGGAAATTTAACAATCTTTGTTTGTAAAAAAAAAACGAAAAAAGTGTGTATAATTTCTAATCCTGTGAAACTGCAACGCTTTTTTCACTCACCTAATAAAACAAACGGTGCGACTTTCAACAGCTTCAATGTTTATGTACACTTGAGACACCAAAATTTTTTCAAAATAAACAAAAGCGCGAATTAAGAGATGCATGACATGATGATTAGAAGACTGGAATAAACAGAAGCTGCGTCGATTTAGGGTTGAGGAACATCTGGATGCACGTGTGGGAGCAACGTGACTCTTTTTACGTTAATCAAGTGATCACTGGGAGGTTTGGAGACGGTCAGGAAACGGTTCGTAAACATGTGCACCTGCCCCGCATGTCGGGGGCGGCGCAAGCGCCGCGACGCCGACTGACGTAGGCGGAATGCCAAGGCTCTAAGAAATCGCTCCAAAGCACAAACACTGTGGGCGGAAACAATTACACAGGGTGTATCAAAAGCGTCCAGGTAAAAAATAAAGCCCTCTGTCCTAAAATATTTAATTTATATATATTTATCAATACATTTGACATATTTATCTTAAAATATACTATCTAAATTAAATAAATCTGCCATTTGCACTCTTCTCTATACTTTACAGGAGTAGTTTAGTCCAGCTGGCGCCGGCGGAATTACTCAACTCATAAAAAACCCACTCAACAATCTAATAAATAAATAACACTCTATTCACACTTTTGTTTAACCGTCGCGATGATCATGTTTGTCTGGTGGATGAGGTAGAGCGCGCTTATGAATACTGCATCAGCACTGAAAAACACCCCTTTAATCACCTTTCAATTTCAACCTTGATACTTACAGTCCTTGTTTAAAATACTCCTTCAAAGTGTTACTAAACCGCTTCGAGTACTTAACAAACTCCCGCTTGCGCTGCTCCAGCGCCTGCTTCCCGGTGCTCCCTGGAATAAACCCATTCACTTCGTTCACCGCGTCCAGCAACCTCTTAATGGCACTCGCAATTTCCCTAAAAAACACACTCAACCATCATCCCTAAACCCAAAAATACCCACTTAATCGTCTCCAAGAACGTCTTCCTGTCGTTAATCTCGTCCGGGATTCGACTCAAAATGCGCTTCAACGCCGCCGATTTCCTGTTCAGCTCCTGGAAAGCGTCTTCAGAGCGGTTCAACCGGTACTCCACAACTACAACCCACATTTAAAACAAACCTGCAAAAATTGTAGAAATTACCGTCTGTTTCGGACGCCGCCCCCTGCAGACGCAGTATGCTCTCGTTTAGGTTAACTGTGAGGTCCCCCTTGTGCAAAATCCCGATAACCAGGTCATGGGTCAGGCCCGGGTACGACGCTTCGGCCTTCGTGAGCGCCGATCTGAGGGTCTGCGACGCCGAAATGTCCTGCTTTTCGAGCTAAAAGCGGAGAATGAGGGACGTATGGGGGCTGAGTGGCACTCACCTGGGACAGAATGGGGCGTATGAGAACGGGAAGTATTAACGATGTGACGGGTGTTTCATCGCCCATTGTCATATTTCTTGGTTGGGAGGGCCGAATGCGATGAAAGGAACGCTTTTGTGGTGAGATGCACTGATAAGATAAGAGGAAAAGGTGCAAATTGGTGAGTGTTTTCGTTAACTGTCATCTGTCAAAGTGGGTATTGTAGAAAACTGTTTTTGGGGATTTTTTGTTTGTAACTGTGTTAGTGACAAGAATGACACATGTGTAATATAACCTAAAACACGAAATGAAAATGTGCCACAAAAGTAAAAACGGGGCTCAAAATGATGAAATCGAGTCCGATTCGGACGATTCTGACGTCAGCATGTCGGATTCGGACGAATCGGGAGACGACGTTGTCGAAAGTGACGCTGCAGATGAACAACCCCCGGAAGACCCTGTCGACGAAGAAGAAGAAGATGAGGTGATTAAAGCCATACGAGGTGCTTCGGAAGCCAAGCGGGACCACCCTCCGGTTATCCACTGTGAAGACTTTATCACAGATCTGTGTTTCCACCCCCATGAAGATTTACTAGCTGTTTCAAACATTGTCGGTGATGTGGTTCTTTACAAATACACCAACGATGAAAACTCCATCGTACGGACACTAGAAGTGCACACGAAAGCTTGTCGCGACATCGAGTTCAGCGAAGACGGTAAAACTCTGTTTTCGGCGTCCAAAGACAAGTCGGTCATGCTAAGCGACGTCGAAAGTGGCAAACTGGTTCGGTTTTTCGACGAAGCGCACGACGCCCCCTTGTACTGTCTTCTAGTAATCGATGAGAATTTATTCGCGACGGGGGACGACGACGGGTGTGTGAAATTGTGGGACTTGAGGCAAAATTCCCCCAGTCCGGTTTACAAAACGAAGAAAAATGAGGACTACATCAGCGATATGGTCACAAACGAGCGGAAGAATTTTTTGTTGTGTTCTAGCGGCGACGGGTCGCTTACAACCATCGATTTGAACAACAGGAAAGTTCACATGCAGTCCGAGGAATATGAGGAGGAATTAACTTGTTTGGGTCTGTTCCGGTCGGAAAGCAAACTCCTGGCGGGGTCTTCCAAAGGCAAGCTTTTTTTGTACAATTGGAACGAGTTTGGTCTGCACAGTGACCTGTTCCCGGGGACGAAATCAGCGATTAACGACTTGATTCCGATTACGGAGAATATTGTGGTGACAGCCTGTGAGGACGGGGTATTGAGGGCCACACATTTGTTTCCACATAGACACCTGGGGGTCGTCGGACAGCACGACTTGTCGGTGGAAAAAGTGGACATCTGCAACAACGGCGACTTCGTGGCGTCCAGCAGCCACAATAACGATATCAAATTTTGGAATATTAGGTACTTCGAGGACTTTGAAAAAGTGAGCCATAAACACAAAAAGCACGAAAAGAAGAAAGAGTTGCAGAACAATTTGCCGTCGTCGAAGGTGCAAAATGTGTCCGATTTTTTCAGCGGATTATCGTGAATTTGTATGATTTTCTGTAAATAAAGTTTTCAACAACAATTTCGATTTTTATTTCTAGCGAAATCAAAATTTTTGAAAATTTTCGAAATTTTGTTTTTTCGAAAACGTTTTATGTTTTAATTGAATCAGGTGGGCCGATCCCGACTGTACTGCAATGCCGGGCCAACCCGCGACGGAGGTGGAGCAAGCCCCTAAGCCCCCATCAATTTCCAAAAATCAGTTTAATATACTGGCCCCGCATGCGGGGCGTATCAGATATTAAGCTGATAAGAACAGATACTACACTTTGATCTTAGCCATAAGGCCGAGAAGCGATAAGGATTTTGGGCCCCAAAATCAAAATATAGTTTTTGGGAAAAAATTGGGTCGTCGGAGGTGACCGGCAGCGCTATCTGGGGGCCACTTCTGCCAGGAGCGCGCTCGCACCGTATTGATTTGTCAATGCGCGCCTGAAAGGGGCTGCTTTCGGGATGTATACGTGTTTTTGAGTAACAAGGGGGCTGTGGCGGAAGCTTGGGGGACCCCCAGGTTGCGGAAGTACCGTTTTTTGGACACAAAGTGAGGTTATGTTGCTTTTTTGGTGCTTCTTTTTTCGGTGTTTTGATGGTGTTTATGTGCGTGGGGTGTTGTTTTTGCAACATTTTTGACAACGTTGTGTAATTTAATTGTGCGTTTTTTCAAAATTTTGTGTTAAAAAAAATAATTACAGATTTTGTGATTTAATATTGTAGGAAACTGTAAGTTAAAAAAAAACAGATGACAGAGGGAGCCACAATTCAGGGTATAGTTTTTCTATATTTGTTGTTATCTTGTTTATTTAAAAAAGTTAAATAAGTCGTAATATTTTCGTATTTTTTTGTAAATGCAATTTTTGACAAGAGAACTGTCAAATTTTACAGGTTTCTTTGTTCCGGTTGTCGGACAATTCAAAATGAGCTTTAACACTTTTTTATTTCAGAATTAAGACCAAAATATAAAATTGATTCGAAAAATTGAAAAATTCAAAAATTGAAAATTGAAGGATCGAAAACTTGAGAAGTTGAGAAATGGGAATATGAAAAAAATCCAAAAATCGAACAAAAAGCTGAAATATCGAAAAATCGGTGCATCGTGAAATCGGAACATGTTAAAATTGAAAAACCGAGAAATCGAAAATTTTAAAACTCAAAAACTGAAAAATCAAAAACCCGAAAAATCGCAAAATTGTACAATTCAATAATTGAAACAGTGAAAGAATCAAAAAATTCAAAAATTCAAAAATCGAAAAATTGAAAGATGGAAAAAGTGAAAAATCGAAAATCCGAGAAGTGGAAAAATCGAATCATCGTAAAGTCGAGAAATCGAGAAATAGAAATTTAAAAAAAATCGAAAAATCGAAAATTTAAAAAATCCAAAAACTGAAAAATTAAAAACCCGAAAAATCGAAAAGTTCAACGATTCAAAAATCGAAATAATTGAAGAATTGAAAAATCGAAAAATGAAAAATCGGAAAATTGAACGATTGAATAATGGAAACGTCAAAATCTCCGATAATAATCGAGAAATCGAAAAATTGAAAAACCTTAAAATAAAAAAAAGTCGAAAAATCGAAAAATCAAAAACCTGAAGATTCGAAAAATTGAAAGGTCGAAAAGCTAAAAAATCGAAAACCCGACAAGTCGAAAAATCGGAAGATCTAAAAGTCGAATCTTCCAAAAACTGAAAAATCGATGAACTGTAAATTGAAAATCAGGAAATCGAAACATCAAAAAATACAAAAATTGAAAAATCGAGAAACTGAAAAGTCGAAAAATTGAAAAATCTAAAACTTAAGAGGTCGAAAAATCGAATCATCGTAAGTCGAGAAATCTAGAAATGGCAATATAAAAAAAAAACAAGAAATCGAAAATTTAGAAACACCAAAAATCGAAAAACTGAACAAAAAGCTGAAATATCGAAAAACTGAAGTAACCCAAATGTGAAACATTGAAAAATTGAAAAATCGAGAAATCGAAAATTTAAAAATCCAAAAATTGAAAAATCAAAAACCCGAAAAATCGAAAAATTGTACAATTCAAAAATCGAAATAATTGGAGAATCAAAAAATTGATAATTCGAGAAGTCGAGAAATCGAAAAAATTGAAATATCGGAAAATTGCAAAATTGAGAAACTAAAAAATCGAAAAGTGGAAAAATCGGAAAATTGAAGAATAAAAAACCTGAAAATTCGAAAAATTGAAAAATTTGAAAATTATAAAATTGCAAGATGGAAAAACTGAAAAATCGAATAGTGGAAAAATAGAAAAATTGAAAAATCAAAAACCTGAATATTTGAAAAATTGAAAAATTCAAAAATCGAAAAATTGAAAGATGGGAAAACTGAAAAATCCAAAACACGAGAAGTCGAAAAATCGAACCATTAGAATTAAAAAAAAATCGAAAAATCGAAAATTTAAGAACACAAAAATCGAACAAAAAGTTGAAATATCGAAAAATTGATGCATCCCAAAACTGAAACATCAAAAAATTGAAAAATCGAGAAATCGAAAATTTTAAAAATCCAAGAATTGAAAAATCGAAAATTTTAAAAATCCAAAAATTGAAAAATCAAAAACTCGAAAAATAGAAAAATTGAACAATTCAAAAATCGAAATAATTCAAGAATCGAAACATCGAAAAGTGGAGAAATCGGAAAATGGAACACTTGCATAATCGAAACGTCAAAATCTCGATAAATCGAAAAATTGAAAAACCCAGAAATTAATAAATTGTTGAAAATTTGGAATATCTTGAACTTGAAAAATCGAAAGTCGAAAAATTTTAAAAATGAAAAACAGCGAAATTGAAAAATCGAAAAATTAAAATATTAAACAATCTACAAGGTAAATCGAAAAATCTAAAATTTATGCAGTCAAAATTGAGTCGAAAAATTGCAAAATCGAGAAATTGAAAAATCCCAAAACTGAAATGTCGAAAGGAAATCGAAAAAATTAAAAAATCGAAGCATGGAATAATTGGAAATTCAAAAAACCCAGAAATCAAAAAATTGAAAAAACCATCGAGAAATCGAAACATAAAAGGATTGAGAAATCAAAAGAGCCAAAAACTTACAATTTTTAAAGTCGATACATAATTCAAAAAATTGAAAAATCGGAAAATTGAACAAGTGAATAATCGAGACGTGGAAAAATGTCGGAAAATTGGGAACTCGAAACACCGAAAAATCGAAACATGAAAAATTGGAAGTTCGAAAATTGAAAAATCGAGAAACTGGAAAATCGAGAAATGGGAACATGAAAAGAAATCGAAAAATGAAAAATTTTGAAACACCAAAAATCGAAAAATTGTACAAAATGCTGAAATATCGAAAAATTGTAAAATCGAGAAATCGAAAATTTTAAAAATTCAAAAATTGAAAAATCAAATACCTAAAAAATTGTACAACTCAAAAATCATAATAATTGAAGAATCAAAAAATCGAAAATTCGAGAGATGGGAATATAAAAAAAGAAAAATCGGAAAATGAAAAACCCTAAAATCTAAAATTGAGAAGTCGAAAGATCGGGAATCTGAAAAGTCGAAAAGTGGAAAATCAAAAATTGAAAAGTCAAAAATCTGAAGATTCGAAAAATTGGAAAATTCAAAAATCGAAAAATTGAAAACCCAAGAAGTCGAAAAATCGAATCATCGGAAAGTCGCGAAATCGAGGAATGGGAATAAATAAAAAATTTAGAAACAAAAAAATCGAAAAATTGATGAACAAAAAGGTGAAATATCGGAAAATAGGTGCAAAAAATTAAAAATTAAAAAAATCGATAAATCATAAATTGAATAATCGGAAATTGAACTAGTGAATAATCGAGACGTGAAAAAATGTCGAAAAATTGGGAAATCGAAACATGGAAAAATTGGAAGTTCAAAAAGCCGAGAAATCGAAAAATTGAAAAAAACATCGCGAAATCGAAACATGAAAGGATCGAGAAATCGAAAAGCCGAGAAGTCGAAATTGCGTAAAATCAAAAAATTAAATATTGAAAAATTAAACATTTTAAAAATCGAAAAATTGAAAAATCGAAAACCCCAGAAGTCGAGAAATTGAATCATCGGAAAGTCGACAAATCGGGAATATAAATAAAATCCAAAAATCGAGAAATCGAAAAATCGAAAATTTATGAACACCATAAACCGAAAAATAAGAACAAAAAGCTGAAATATCGAAACATTGAAAAATCTCAAAATTGAAAAAATCGAGAAATCGAAAAATTGAAAAATCAAAAACCCAAAAAATCGAAAAATTGAACAACTCAAAATTCGAAAAATGAAGAATCGAAAATTTCAGAAGTAGAGAAATGGAAACATCGTAAAGTGGATAAACCGAGAAATGGAAATATAAAAAAATCGGAAAAATTGAAAAATCCCGCAACTGAAACTGAAACTGAAAAAATGAATAAAAAATTTGAAGATTCAAAAAATTGAAACATTCAAAAATCAAAAAATTGAAAATATGTACGTCTTTTTAAATAAATAACAAGGGGGCCTTGATGGAAACTTAGGCGACCTACAGGTTGTGGAAGGACAAAGTAAGGTTATATTGTTTTTTAGTGCTTTTTTTTCGGAGTTTTAATAGTGTATATATATGTACGTGGAGTGTTGTTACTAGAACATTTTTGGTAACATTGTATAATTTAATTGTGCGTTTTTTCAAAATTTCGTCTAATAAAAATAATTACAGATTTTGTGATTTCGTGGTGTAGGAAACTGTTTTGAGCTAAAAAAAAAAAAACAGATAACAAAGGGAGCCACTGTTCAGGATCTAGCCCCGCCCACCCGCCCTCTCTTTTCTTAGAGGGTGTGTCATTTGCCAAAATCGGTCTTATTTTAGCAGGTACTAGCCCCGCCCACCCACCCTCTCTTTTCTTAGAACGTATGTGATTTGCCAAAATTAGTTTTATCTCAGCAAGTACTGATGACTAACTTTGGAAACATTACGAGCTTACTTATATGCACAGGGCAGGAATTTTGAACATTTTCTCTGGTGTTTGGTTAGTTATGCTTTAATGGATTTTTCTTTTGTTGCTTTTGTTTTTAATTATAATTCATGTCAATTTTACTATTATAAAATTACGTTTTTTCCAGACACCCGGTATACTTCATCATTGATAATGAAAACGTGTTAGTAAGTCGTAATATTTTCTTGTTTGCAATTTTGGCAAAAATAAAAAAAGTCAATAAATAACTCAAAGGCACTTTATTAAACAATCTTTAGAAAATATAGGCTGGGTGCGAATACGCTACGGCTGGAGCAGTATACGCCACGGCTGGAGCAGTATAAGCCACGGCCCGAACGGGCACCGGTACGGATCTGTACACGTACTCCTTCTGCTCAACAGTGATGGGTTGCTTGACCACTGTCACTTTCGTGGGGGCTACATTGACCTTGGGCAAAAGCGTAGCCCCCAAGGGACTCTCAAAGGGCACCACTCCCCCATAAACAGCGGCGACGAGCGCAAATAGAACCACCTATGCAACAGAACGACATTAGCGCCATCTACACCCGTCGCTCTACAACTCATCCACCAGCGCCCTCTACACAAAAAAACAACTCGCACTACAGAGCCAGCTACTTGATACTTACGAATTTCAGCATGTTGTCGGATGTAGAGCGGTAGTGTTTACGAATTGCCCGCATTTATACGAAACGAACGACCTTAAAATTAAAAACTTGTCTGTTTAATTACGGCGCCGCGCCCAAACAAGGAACTACATCGACGACATTGGGACAAATCCCACATCAGTGTGGAAAAAAATGGGTTCGGTGATATTTTCGAAGACTTGCGTTTCGTTGTTGACGTTGTCGAGGAGGTTGGAGGGGGAGTAGGTGGCGTAGGGGAAGGTGGTGCCGTTGGGGGTGGTGACGTTGATGAGGGTCATCGCCGGCATGCTCTGGAAGTACTCCAGGATGTAGTTGTTCTGGTAGTTGATGTCGTGGCTGAAGAGGCTCGGGGAGGCGCGGAAGCTCTGCGAGGAGAGGGGGAGGTGGAGGAGGTCGCCGCAGGGCTAAAACACAGTTCGGCTCTAAATTATATTTTAATTGAACGATATCACTTTGATATGGATTTAACACATTGTAATAATAGTGGAAGGGGGGCCCCCAGGCTCTAAGACCGCTATAAATGATCCTAAGACAACATACAATGGCGCCAACCAGGAACCGGAAACAACGTTTTCTTTTGATTTGTACTTTTGGGAATTGGTACAGAGTGTTGTTTGCGATTCGGTGGCCGGATGCCGACAATATAATATAATGGGAATAGTCAACTTTAATATATTTGTACAATATAGTCTGGTGTTTTTTATTTTACTTATTTTAGGTTCTATCTATGACGATCACAAGTATATTATAGATATAAAGAATGGACCACATTAATCTAGTACGAAACGAGGTTCGGGCCGAGGCGGAGGGACGAGAGTACTACGAGTAAATAGAAAATTCATTTTTGAATAAATTTGAATAATATTTGCATTCAAGCATTCAGGTTTTATACTACGCGCATAAAAAAAAACGTTACGAGAATGGAAAAAAATTAACAGTTAACATTTTTTGTGGGTTTTGTTTTTTAATGTTTTTTGTACTTTTTATTTTATTAAAAAATTATTAAAACTAATTAGGAAAATGTTAAAACTTTTCGCATTAATATTGAAGCTTTCTGATTCATTTCGTCTTCTGTTTAATTTAGTACAAATTTTTGTTTTTGTTTCCTCGACTTTCGTAGTCGCTTTTTTTTATTTGATGACGTTATGACAACATGAACGTCTAATAATTTTTGACGTAAAACAGACTCAGAATTTGACGATTTTTTCAGAGTCATGAAATTTGAAGAAACCTTGAATTTTCTAAAGATTTAATATCTCGTGGTAAAGTAATGGAGTTGTTCGTGAAATAAATGCGATTATATACAACCATGACAATTTTGGCTTTTGTTGAGAGTACGTGAAGAGTGTAATTGGAGAAATGTAAGTTTGTCCGCCCCGCCTCAGCCGCCAGATTTGATTAATTCGTAACGTGTCCCGGTCTGTTTGATTCAAAACTGTTTGATTATTTTTGAAGACTAAAGGAAGATTTAGAATATGTCGCTATTTTCAAAATTTTGGGAAGCATTCTTTTGGAATAAAACGTATATATGTACAACTCCCAAGTGTACGACGGGAAGCTCTAATAAATCTCAACTTTCTTGATAAATTTTGAATTATCTACTAAGGCACAACCTTATTTAACATTAACACATTTACATCTGTACATTCATTTTGATATTAGGGCTGCGCCACGCGGACGCGATCAATAATGACTTTGGCTTTTTACAACCTCTCTAACACGGATTACACTGTAATGGCTACATGTTGACATTAACAGCTATCATATACATACAAACATTTGACTAGAATATGGATCTCTATCCAGCGGGTCGAGTTGGTCCCAACGAGCAACGCAAAACGGAAACCGAGAGAAAAAAAAGGCACAATTCCAATTTTGACAAATTGAGCCGAAACAACCGCATCTCTTAGATCTGGTAATCGTCGAATTTGATCGCCGGAGCGCCGTCAAAGAAGTAGTCGAGGTAACCCTTGTTGGGCGCCAAACGCGGGTCGGGCGGGCTCTGGAATCGGCCGCGCTCGGTCGAGCCGAACGCTTCGTTGAAGTCCGGCAGGGATTTCGTGGCGGGCTTTTTGACAGCCGGCTGCACAAACAACGAAACGATCGACATCTTAAAACAAAGCTCCTTCGACACGTGGCACGTTCCGCTCACCTTTTTCATTTTGCTTTCGTCCGGTTCAAAGACCGGCAAGAAGTGCTCTTGTTCTTGCTCTTTGTCCGGCTCCGGGTCGTTAGTGGGAGGGGAGGTGGCGGGCGTCGGCTCCTTCTCCATCATGAGAGGGGTGCCCATCTCGGGGGGCTGGGCAGAGTAGGGGGGAACGTCGCCCATCATGAAGGGGTTACCTGCCGAACGGACTATCGATCGTCATCGTAATCATCATCATCGAACAAAATCCTCGCTCACCTGAGGACCTGGGCCGCATCGCCTGGTACTCGGGCCACATCTCCGCGTGCTGCTGCAGCTGGGCCAGCGGGTTCGACTGCAAGCGAAAATCCCCTTTATCGATGCCATAAATCCGGCACGCTTTCCAATTAAACATATTTCAACCACCTGTTGCGCCGCCCGCAATAGGAAGTCGTCGACGAGGTCGTTTTTCTTATTGCGGGCGACCCTGTTGAAAATTTCCCGCATCGACCACATTGTTTATTTTCGAGCCGATCGATTCGGAAAGAGACTTTTACACACTTTCTCGTTCCCCATGCATGCGGGAAATCGCTGCGGCTCTCCCTCTAGACAGCTATTCTCTAATCAATCAATCGATACACAGTGTGTCGCACCTGCATGTAGTTCGTGGTCGGCGGTGGCATTGGCGGCGGCGGCGCTGGCTCCATCTTGCTGTAGGCGGCGTTCATGGCGCCCAGGAATTGCTCGCCCGGCGACGACGGCGGCAGCGGAAAGCCGCACACGGGCGGCGGCGCCTGCAGCCCGCCCAGCGGTTGCTGCAACACCAGACTCTCACATGGCGAACAACCGGCACAACATACACCCGAAAACTGGCGCCCGAGCCACGAAAATCGAAAGACAACCAATTCAACCAAAGTCCCGCCCCTTCAAAACTTCTCGATCCCGATCCGGCAGACAAACTTCCCCGACCCTGACCTGCCCCACTCCTCGTTTAATTCGCAGAAACATCATGAATGGAAAAGAGAAATTTCGCGCGTCGCGCGGTCCTGTATCGAGTCCTCCTCGCGCGACATCTCCTGCATGACCTCCTGACACGCTTCGTCGATAGTGGCGGCGTGGTGTCAAGGCAATTATCGATCGGGGGCGGCGGAGGCCGATCGGGGCTGAAGACTTAATCCGAACGAACGGCCGGTTTTTTGCCGCCCCCGCACGGGAGGTACGGGGCACAATGCAAATAGCCCCCCGTCGACTCTCGCTCGTCGTCGTATCGAGCTTTTCGCGCGCCCGGCTCTGTATCGACGCCGGTTACGCAATAGGCGCCGCGACGCTCTCGTGCGTCGCCTGGCAACCGTAGGCGTCGACGATCTCCGTTGCCATGGCAAAGCGTCGCGCGGGAGGCAAAACCGGCACGGTATTGAAAAGAGGACGGGTTTTTGGAAACGGAAAAAGGGGCCGCGGGGCTCGACGGACGAGGGAAAAGGGCAATCGCCGCACGAGGAGCGAACTTTCGCGCTCCGGACGTGCATTCCGAGAAAAATTAGGGAGGTTGGCGACTTCGGGACGGAAGAAGGGGGTTTCAGTCATCCACTCAAAAACGACGCCGGAACGACAGAAAAAGGACGGGCGCCAAAAATTACGCCGTTCAGCGTCCGGACCCTAAATTCTCGAAAACTATTCAACCTGACGTGCATTCCGAGAAAAATTAGGGAGGTTCGCGTATCTAGAACGGAAGAAGGGGTTTCTAGTCGTACAGCAGACACCTTTATCCACTCAAAAACGACGCCAGAACGCCAGAAAAAGGACGGGCGCCAAAAATTACGCCGTTCAGCGTCCGGACCCTAAATTCTCGAAAACTATTCAACGTGACGTGCATTTCGAGAAAAATTAGGGAGGTTCGCGTATTTAGAACGGAAGAAGGGGTTTCTAGTCGTGCAGCAGACACTTTAATTTACTCAAAAACGACGCCAGGACGCCAGAAAAATGTCGGGCGCCAAAAATTAAGCTGGTCCAGCGACCGGACCCTAAATTCTCGAAAACTGAAGCGAGATGTTCGAAAATTAAGCTTTCGGATCTTGAAAAGCGTTCGACGTGTGGGTATCCGTCGAAAGCGAAAGTAACGGGGCTTTAAGAAACGTGGCGCTGCCGGGGGCGGGTCCGCACAAGTAACTCTCATCCGGTTGATTTCGTTGCGTCCGCAAACACTCGCCCACATGTCCCGGAAAGCTCGAGCCCGGCCGCTCAAACAGGTGATCGGAAAGGGGTAAAACCGGATCGACCCCGCTGCCGACACCCTCCCCCAGCCCCAATCAGACCCGGTTAACAATTAATTCGCGGAAATTGCATCGCCCGGTTTCCGCCCAGCGTCGCATCTAAATATAAACAACAATAGTCTGCCCCCGGTGATAATTCGTCCGTTATCGCGCGTATCTTTCTCCCGATCAATAAACAAAAGGTACACCCGAACCCGCACACCATGCATAATTCACTGGGCGATTTTTGGGGCGATGGTCCTCGGCGGATCGATTCCGGCGAGCGCAAAAACGGTGCTCCAATTTCGTCGGGAATTTTGAAAAGACGGTTCCCACCCTCCCATTGTTGCAAAGTTTCCCCTCCCCCCGGCATCGACTGTCACCCAGGAGGGCCCTATCGATTGCGAAGGCACACTCAAGGCCCGGATTTATTTATGAGAAGAAGTGCGTGGGCGCCTGCAGGCATGGGTGTGCTGAAAAGGCTGCTTTTGGAGGGAAAACGTACCATCATGAGGTCGTCGTGGGACGGCGGCGGCGGCGGCGGTACCCAGCTGTGCGACGACGGTGCCCTGCGCGCGTTGGGCCTCTGGAGCATGGGGGAAGTCCCGATCGAAGTTCGTTCTCGTGTTGCATCGCGCATAGCTTTCCGTATCCTCGCCTCCTTAGGGTTGTACACGTAATCTGAAATATGCAGAGGGAGATTTATGAGAGCGAGGGGGTGGGTTTTGTTTTATTGTTTGGGGGCTGAGCAATTTTCGAGGAGGGAATTTTTCAAAGAGATTAGTTTGGCCCAGTTCGCGCTAATCCGACCTGCTGCGCCACTTTTGGGTCGTTATTCGGACGGAGTTCGTTTCCTTGATCGATTCCTTCGAGACTTGCTTTATTACTCTTTGAAAAGTTGCGCGAGCTCATTGTATTAATTAAACTTCACGCCATCTATTTTAATGAAGTCGGTGAGTAACCAGAGGAGTCATAATTGGTGCTAATAAAGGCCCGTTCGCGTAAAACAGATAGTTAAGTGCGACAATAAAATAATTAGGGGGTTAGGGTTTGTTGTGACGGTCTTCGGATTTTCGGAGACGTGTCCGCGCGCTCCGGAATTCCGGGCGAAATCCTTGCGGTTCCTCGCTGAATATTTGATGAGGCGTCATCGGGAGAGCGTGAAAAAGTAACGAAATTCTGCGTCACTCACCATGAATTCGCCGCCGCCAGACACCAAACGACTGGCTCAATAATAAACATTATAAAAATTTTATCACTACGGTAGGGAACCGGTGAAGAGCGGCCACTCATCACGAGGATAATTAATTAGATTCGAGATCGATCGACCGCAAGGTCGGAAACGTAATATGTAGCCGCGGAAAAATTGCGATAGAAAGTTGGCAACGTTGTCGCGACTAGCGAAAAACTTGGCGGAAGTTTGACACACATACAGAGGGGGCGTTGCCGCGAAAACAAACGAAAACGTGTCTTCGCGACGTGGAAAAGAGCGACGTCGGAAGCCCGTCTTGGACGCACGTTTCTGGTCGTCGCATCCACGTCGGGTTCGTCTTTTTTTCGACGTCGCGTGGTCGTCGCGATCGATATAAATTGACGTGGGAGCCCGCCGTACCTGGGAAGGTGGTGCAGGGCCACTGCTGGTAGTACGGGGCGTTCCCATAGTAGTCGTGGTAGACCTGCTGGCCGTAGAAGTCGGCGTGGTACGCGGGCACCGGCTCGTAGTACTGCGATCCGTAATATTGGTGGTGTCTGTACGGCATGTAATTGCAGCAATCCATCCCTGCGGTCGAGTTCTCGTCGGTTCTTTGGCACTAGGTGAGAGCCATCACGAGGTCGCTGTTTCGCGCCAAAATCGCCGACACGTACTGAGCGGCGGTGTGGAGCGGGCTGCCACACGAGCCGGAGTGCGGCGCAGTTAGCGACGCCGGACGCCGTCGCCGACTGAATCAATACGGGCACCGCGACGCCTCACCTCGGGGGCGCGCCTTCAAAGGTCTCTCTGCAGTGGCGCTGATGACGGACAAGTGGGTCATTTCGGGGGACCGATGCACCGGGGGGCCGTGCACCGGAGCGCCGCCCGAACCGTACTCCGGCTTGCGGATTGCCGTTGCTCCCTCGAGCTCGTTCCGCGGTCGCCCGATCGCGCTATGCGGGAGCCAATCGCCCGAACATTGATAAGACAAAGCCATAGAAAAACAAAAGTGGCGGCTTGTCGAGCCTAGAGATCGATACGCCCGCATATTTTTTCCTCCCTAGCTGATGGGCTAGTGGTCCATTCCGTAATAGTTCGTGTCCGTTTATCGGGGACCGGGTTAAGGTTGAAATGCGGAATAGCTTGAATGAGTTCCGATAGTCTTCAATAAAATTTCATATCTGGAGCTATGACGGCTTTATGTAGTGCGATAATGCACTACTTTACGGCCGCTTCGGTTTGCGGTTTATTTAGGGGCTGTTGAGATTCTCGGGAGATGCTTTTATCGAACTTAAAGAGCCAAAATCCGGAGGGAGATTAGGAATTTTTAGAGCGCTTTGCTGCACGGAAAACTAAAGGAAATTCTTATTTTAAAGACATCTAAAATTGTCTCAAGACCGCAGATACAGGGTGTTCTACAACTATTTTCAAAGTAGAAGGTTCCATTTAAAGGTTGAAATAGGGTCCATCGGTTAATCACGTTTTGTCGACGAAATCGATCGAAATATAGATCGCGAAATTGAAAAATTGATAAATCGAAAAAGTGAAAATTATAAAAATTGAAAAATAAAAAAATTGGAAAATCGGGAGACCGGAAAATCGAAAGATTGAAAAATTCGACAAATTGCAAAGTCGAAGAGTCGAGAAATCGAAAAATTAAAAAGTTAAAAGTTCTGAAATCAAAAGGTTGAGAAATCGAAAAGTCGAAAAATTGAGAAATAGGGAAACCGGACAGTCAAAAAAATTAAAAATTGAAGAATTGAAATACCGAAAAATTGAAATATGCATTGAAAAATTGGGAAATCAGGAAACCCAAAAGTCGAAAAACCGAGAAATCGGAAAAAAAAATTAAATATTGAAGAACTCGAGAAATTGAAAATCGAAAATTCTAAAATTTGAGAAAGCGCGAAATCGAAGTCAAAAAATCGAAAAATTAAGAAATCGAAATGCAAAAAATCGAAAAATCGAAAAAATCAGAAAATTGAAAACTCGAAAAATTGAGAAATCGAAACTCAGGAAATCGATAAATCAAGAGATGGAAAAGTCAGAAAGTTGGAAAATCGAAAAATTGAAAAAATCAAATACCCGAAAAATGGGAAATCAGAAAATCAAAAATTTAGAAATCTAGAAATCGAAAAATAGACCAAGCGGCTAATCGAAAAATTGAAAAATCGAAAAATCGAGAAGTTCCAAAAGTTGAAAATTAGAAAAATTGAGAAATCAAAACATTGGAAAATTGGGAAAGCGGAATGTCGAAAGATTGTAAAATTCGAGAAAATGAAAAGTCGAAGAGTCGAGAAATCGAAAAATTGAAAAGTTAAAAGTCCTGAAATCGAAAGGTCGAAAAATCGAAAAGTCGAAAAACTGAGAAATCGGAAAACTGAAAAGACGAAAAATTAAAAAATTGCTAAACTGAAAACTAGAGAAATCTAAAAATCAAAAAGTTAAAAAATTGAAAAATATAAAAATCGAAAAAATCAAAAATCGCAATGTCGAAAAATTGAAAATTTGAGAAATCGAAAACTCGGAAAATTGAGAAATAGGGAAACCGGAAAGTCAAAAAATTTAAAAATTGAAATATCGAAAAATTGAAATATGCATTGAAAAATTGGGAAATCAGGAAACCCAAGAGTCGAAACACCGAGAAATCGGGAAACTCGAAAATTGAAATATTGAAGAATTTGAGAAATTGAAAATTGAAAAGTCTAAAATTTGAGAAATCGCGAAATCGAAGTCAAAAAATCGAAAAAATAAGAAATCGAAATGTAAAAAATGAAATAAATCAGAAAATTCAAAACTCGAAAAATTGTGAAATCAAAAACTCGGGAAATCGATAAATCAAGAGATGACAAACTCAGAAAGTTGAAAAATCGAAAAATTGAAAAAATCAAATATCCGAAGAATGGGAAATCGGAAAATCGAAAAATCGAAGAGTCGAGAAATCGAAAAGTTGAAAAGTTAAAAGTCCTGAAATCGAAAGGTCGAAAAATCGAAAAGTGGAATATTTGAGAAATCGGAAAATTGAAAAAACGAAAAATTAAAAAATTGCTAAACTGAAAACTAGAGAAATCGAAAAATCAAAAAATTAAAAAATCGAAAAATATAAAAATCGAAAAATTCAAAAATCGTAATGTCGAAAAATTGAAAATTTGAAAAATCGAAAACTTGGAAAATTCAGAAATAGGGAAACCGGAAAGTCAAAAAATTTAAAAATTGAAAAATTGAAATATCGAAAAATTGAAATATGCATTGAAAAATTGGGAAATCAGGAAACCCAAGAGTCGAAAAACCGAGAAATCGGGAAACTCGAAAATTGAAATATTGAAGAATTTGAGAAATTGAAAATCGAAAATTGGAGAAATCGCGAAATCGAAGTCGAAAAATCGAAAAATTAAGAAATCTAAATGTAAAAAATCAATAAATCAAGAAATGGAAAACTTGAAAAATTGAAAATTCAAAAAATTGATACATCGGAAAACTGGAAAATTCGAGAAATTGAAAGGTCAGAGCCGAGAAATCGAAAAATTGAAAATTAAAAGTCGTGAAGTCGAAAAAATTGAAAAATTGGGAAATCGAAAATTCGAAAAATTGAGAGAGAAATCGGGAAATTGGAAAATGGAAAAGTCGAAAATTTGGGAAACCGTGAAGTCGAAGTTGGAAAACCGAAAACTTGCAAAATCCAGAAATTGAAAACTCGGAAAGTCGAAAATTCGAGAAATCGGGAACGCGAAGTCAAAAAATAAAAAAATTCAAAAACCTGAGATATAGAAACATTCAAAAACCGAGAAATCGGAAAATCTAAAAACCGAAAAATGGAGAAATTAAAAAATCGGAAAATCGAAAATCGTAAATTTGAAACCGAAACATCGAAAAATTGATAGTTGGAAAAATCGACAAATCGAATAAATGAGAAATCGGGAAATCGAAAACCCAAAAAACCTGAGAAATTTGGAAATCGAAGTCGAAAAATCGAGAAATTAAAAAATCGAATAGTCGAAATTTGAGGAATCGAGAAATGGAAGTCCAAACATTGAAGAATTCTAAAATGGAGATGTCCAATAAGCGAAAAATCAAAAAATCAAAATATCGAGGATCGGGAAATCTAAAAATCAAAAAAGTGAAAAATGGAAAAATTGAAAAATCGAGAAATCGTAAAACCGAAAAATTTTAAAAATTGGGAAACTGAAAAATAGAGAAATCGAAAAATCAAAAAATTGAAAAATCGGAAAATTAAAAAATTGAAAAATCGAAATATTAAATATCGCAATGTCGGAAAATCAAGGAATCGAAAATCCAAAAATTGAGAAATCGGAAAATTGAAAAGACGAAAAATTAAAAAATTGGTAAACTGAAATATAGAGAAATCGAAAAATCAAAAAATTAAAAAATCGAAAAATTCAAAAATCGTAATGTCGAAAAATTGAAAATTTGAAAAATCGAAAACTCGGAAAATTGAGAAATAGGGAAACCGGAAAGTCAAAAAATTTAA